GATAATTTTATTTTTAAGGAATATCATACAACCAATATATTTTTTAATCAAAGTTTCAATTTATACAGCTCATTACATTTTAAAAGATTGATTAAATTGTTAAAGTTGTATTAATTAATTTAATTAGACACCGTTTTTAAAGATAAATTTGTATTAAATCATAAAACACAGAATCCAGAAAAAAATGGAAATCACAGAATTTTGGGGAAAATAAATTTCATAGATGGCTAACTCTGTGCAGTAGGGTTGCCATGATACCATAAATATATCTTACGATACTGTACTGGCTGAAGTATAATGATCCCATATGTTATTGTGTTAATTCATAATTCAAATTTTCATATTTACAGACCAGTTTTTCCTAAAACCGCCAGTAGGTGGCAGCAAGTCTTAATGAGTCACTGAATCATTTATTCAAACAATTAGTTCAAAACAGCTGATTTATTTAGTTAGAATGAAGCAATTTACTGTTTTTTAAGAATGTCTCAGTAAATCATTGATTCGCATGCTTTGTTAAAAAAAACAGATTCATTCAGAAATTAAACAAACCACCACTGCATGTTGCTCAGAGAAGCGCTACAGTTCTGCTTTGTTTAGAACTATTTTCATTGGCGAAATATAGCGAAACCATCATTATTGACAATGTTGTGTCTAAAATGTAATTTAATATCAACGTTTTGTTTAATGAACTGCTGTATAAAATCAATTACATTTGCAATTGTGCTGATATTACGAAGAACAGCACTCTGCTCATGTCATATCGCTGAACTATCATGTTATAAATAAAAAACAAACTCATGCAGGAGCTTTTTGCCCCCGTATCTTAAAATGTCCAAGTCTGACTGAAGGACAGTATATTAAAACACATAATTCAATGTTAAAATCACATTTAAAGGATTGATATTATTAATGAGAACCAAATGCAAATGCCGTTATGTTGATGAATGCATTGCATTCGTCATCGCAAATTGGTTCTATAAACTAACCATTACACCTGTTCCAGAAGTGGTCAGATGAGCAAAGGATGGAACTGAAACAATACATTGTTATTTAAAAGATATTATGATGTTAAAAATAATGTTTGAGCTGCTGGTTTTCTAAATCTTTTCAGTCCCTTTCTCCTGATAAACTGCAACGCAAACAGACATGCAATATCTCATTACAAAATGAAACACTCAGTACCATATAAGTCATGAATTCTACACAGCATTTACTACACAGGGCACAGCGGAAAGGCTGCTGCACACAAAAAGACTCTCTAGTAATGTTTTTACTTACATGCCTGTTCAAATTAACTCTTAAATTGTGTACTGCCGCATATACAGCATGACATACAGTAGTACCGTAGTTGTACATTTCTTATTGTCATTTAGTTTAATTTAAATTAAACTAAATAAACTACAACTAAAATGTAAAACTTATAATAACTTTTAATAAAATCTATACAGACTTATCAAAAAATGAAAATAAATAAAATAACTCTAATTTAAAATATTAACAATAACTGTAGTAGTATCAATGATACTAAAATAACACTGGTTGGAGCATCACAGTGCTTACACTCTTCTAGGAAGTCAACACTAGAAATGCCCTGATCCAGCTGTATCTGCAGCACGGACACTATTGACCTGTTAAACCGTAATGCTTGTAGCTGTATGTACTGCTGTTCTCGTAAACTTGGAGGCTGCCCAGTGCACATGATAGGCTTCAGATAAACCCTTCATAAAGAATCTGTTAGAGAATGTAAAACCTCTATCTGAAGACCTCCTGACCACAGCTGTGTGGGACTCCTTGAGCACCTTTCAAAGAGCGAGAAGGAGTCTGCGGTACTGAGACCAAATAAACAGGGTCTTAAGGCCACAGGCGTTCTCTTCTGTGAAAAGCGGGCAGTGAAAAACTCAGCCACCCTATCTCAGTCCTGCAGTCCCATCCTCCCCGGCTTGAGATCAGTGCGGATGCTTCCCTCTAGCTCTTAGCCTGCTCTCTCATGTCTAAGCCTGCAGTGCTGCTGTTCCCTCGCAGATACACTAGCTGTGACTCTATCAAGCCCCTTTCAGAGGGAAGATGAAAGATGAAGATGAATTTGATGTGCCTGATGTCTCTAAAGTTTTGAATGTTTTGACCCAAACTCTCCACCTTTCCCATGTTATTTTCTTTATGGGCCTCCAAAAATATTTCAAGATTATGATTGTGTGGTATTTCATCCCAAAATCTGAAGATTATTATTATTATTATTACTTCCAAAACAACATAATTTTTAATTATCAGTGTAATGCAATTTGTACAATTATTTTTACTTTTTTAATTTCAAAATATATCTATTCTATAAATATAATTATTAAAAAAATTGTGCATTAGAAAATGAATGCCGTTAATCATGTCTCTGATACATGTATTGGATAACATTCAAGCTTGAATTACCAGTCAATGCTAAACATGTCTTTTTTTTTTCGTGTTTCATTAGTAATCATAGGTATCCGTACGTAAAGTAGTAGCACACATAGATTTTTGTATGATGACATGAATACTAAAATTTGCATAATTAGTGTACAGTGTCAACAGCGTCTAAAAAGCATATTACTAATTTACAACTTTAGAGATGTGCAAATGTAATAAACCCTTTCAAGTTCATAGAATTGATGGAATTAATAGGCTGATTTTATTGAATTTATTTAATGACAAATATGTTCAACGTGATTGCATTCATTCAAATCCAAAATCAAATTCAAATCAAGTGTTGCATTAGTTAAACATTTAAAATTTGCCACCTGAAGCGTTACACCACAGGTTTGAGGTCAAAGACGCCAAATGCATTGGCTCTTGCATGTCTTTTGGCCAACTGTGAAATGCCAACTTTTGACACTGTGGTATTAAAATCTTTTTGAATGTGACTACTTTGATGTACGAGATCTGGGGACAATTTTCAGCAATTTACAATTTTAATTTAACTTTAAAATCTGTAATTAAACTTGCTGCCACTGTACATTTATCTGTTTTTGTGTAGTTGAGATATGGTTAGGTTTAAGGTAGGCTTGAGGTTAAGGGCTCAAAAATATCTACATGATTGTTAAAACATGCCTAGAAATACATTTAGGCGCGGGTTTCACAAAAGGGGCTTAGCTTAAAGGGATACTCCACCCCAAAATTAAAGTTTTGTCATTAATCACTTACCCCCATGTCGTTCCAAACCCGTAAAAGCTTTGTTTGTCTTCAGAACACAATTTAAGATATTTTGGATGAAAACCGGGAGGCTTGTGACTGTCCCATTGACTGCCAAGTAAATTACACTGTCAAGGTCCAGAAAAGTATGAAAGACATCATCAGAATAGTCCATCTGCCATCAGTGGTTCAACCGTTACGTTATGAAGCGACGAAAATACTTTTTGTACGTGAAGAAAACAAAAATAACGACTTTATTCAACAATTCGTCTCCTCTGTGTATCTCCGTATCACCGTGGCGCCATTTTGGAGAATATCCACTGAACGCAAGCAGCGTACGCTATTCTGTGTCAGCCACGACACAAGGATACATTTTCTACGTGTATTTACGCTTTGATTTGAACGAAAACAGCGCATCCATGCAGCGCGGCTGACACAGAATAGCGTACACTGCTTGCGTACAACTTCAACGTACTAGGCCTTAGTTAAATTACGATATTTAAGCAACTTTTACAAAAAATGCCTTAGAAGAAAACATTACAGGTGTGCATCTTGACACAGAACAACAACACTGACATATTTTAAGATATGTCAGAGCAAGATATTTTCAGTTGAGACAGCTCAAACATGCATTTTAGTCTGGGACTAGCTTAAGCCTTGTCTGTTAAAATATAAAGGATTTGTAAAGATTTCTTAAGATCTGTAAATAATTTTAACTTTTAAAGGAATAGTTCATCCAAAAATGAAAATTTGCTGAACATTTACTCATCCTTGGGCCATTCAGGATATAGATGAGTTTTTTTCTTCATCAGAACAGATTTGGGTGCCATCAGAATAAGTGTCCAAACAGCTGAAAAAAAAAAGAATCCACAAGTAATCCACACCACTCTAGTGAAGCAAAAAGGCAGTGTGTTTGTAATAAATTCATCAAGATGTTTTTATGTATTGCTTCTGGCTGAAATACGAGTCCTCAGGTGTTGTTTTGACAACATTGTTGTCTGCATGAGAAACATAAAAAAAAAACGGAAAGTAAAAACTTTAGCATTTTTTAGTACATTGTTGTTGTGTAAACATACCTTGAACCCAGTCCAAACCAGTTCTAAACAAATATGTTGGTGAAAAAACAGGGATTATAATCTGGTATTTTGGCCAGAAGCGATGGTTTGAAGTTAAAATGCCTTAAAGGGGTCATATGATGCGATTTCAAGTGTTCCTTTCTCTTTGGAATGTTACAAGTTGATTGTGCATAGATAAGATCCCTGAAGTTGCTGATCTTTAAAAAAGCATCATATGACCCCTTTAATGAGATATTCGTTTCTTACAAACACACAGCTTTTTGCATCACAAGATATTAATTGATGGATTGGAGTTGTGTGGATTACTTGTGAATCATTGTGATGATTTTATCAGCTGTTTGGACTCTCATTCTGACGGCACCCATTCGCTATAGAGGATCCATTGGTGAGCAAGTGACGTAATGCTAAATTTCTCCAAAGAAACAAACTCCTCTACATCTTGAATGTACTGAGGATGAGTAAATTTTCAGCTAATTTTAATTTTTGGGTGAACTATTCCTTTAAGTGCTATATTTCCGTTTCTATCCAAAGATACAAAATGTATGTGTATGTTATGTATGAAGAACTACATTTTCTTAGGAGATCAGGCTGTGATGCCAGATGAGATTTTTCTGAACATGAAGTGTGAAAGGTTACCCACATTGAAAGGGAGTTTTGTGGGAAGATGGATGAAGCCCTGACAGCTCCATCTATACAGGAACATGCCTGGGCACAGTTGTGGGATTCTGTAATGAAATATATCTATTTTCTTTCTCCTTTCTTCAGGGAGGCTCCATCCAGAATACAAAGTCAAAACGATGCCTTGAACTCCTGGAGAACAATGACAATGAGTTTGGATATCAGCTGACGCTCCAGAAATGCACTGGCCAGAACTGGACCATCACCAATATGTTGCCTGGTAGCACCTTATGATGGTACCATCGAGACTGAGGGAGGACTGCATTGACAAATGATGACAAGCTTAAGCACCTGGATGTCTCTATCTGACTTTGACATCATATGATAAATGTTAAACATTTTTCCTAGCTGCTGTACTTGTGCATACTGATAAGCCACATTTGGCAGATATTGCATTGTGTATTATAAGGTTCTACACTGTACTGAGATTTATTTTGTGCAAGGTATACTTGGTTTTGTCTTGATTTGAAGGTTGTACTGGCTCCAATGCACACATTGAAGCCATAATTGCTACTATGTAGCAAAGCTTTGACAACGTTCCTGCTGTATTTCGTTCTAGTGTCTCAGGTTTGTAGGTTGAGATTATTTTGAAATAACTCTGTACATTTTTGGGACATGCCAATATGTTGGAACTTATCTAGATACAATCAACTGTTTTATATCTACATGTAGTAAATATTCTCAGTATTTATAATTAATGGCAGTAAAAAACAAATGCGAAGACGGTTTGTGAGTTCTGCTGATCTTCATTTTTCTGCACAGGACCTTGTACCATCATTCCTGTAAACAGAGAGAGCTATAGTTGTTCTGACAGATTTGGTCATTCCTCGCTGTGTCAGTGGTTTGGTTGAACAGATGTGCTCTCTCTAGAGTACAACTCAGTGTTTGTTCCTTCAGATGCATGGCATGCACTTGTGTTCACCAAAATATTCCATGAAGTTCACAATGAATTTTATAGCAGTGGTTTAAACTGGTGGATCGCAAGTCAAAAATAGGTTACAGGTCTGTTCAGGACATCAGAGGAAACACTGCTGAGTACAACAATTAGAACAAAGCATATACAGTAGATACAATACCAAAATATGAGATGTGCGCCCAATCAAATTTGCTCTCACTTTAATTTGGACTATGGACTATTTCTACAACTTTTGCCTCAATGAACTAATAATTTGCTGCTTATTAATAATAAGGTAGTTGGTAATTTTAGGTATGTGGTAGGATTAAGGGATCTAAAACATGGTCATGCTGAATAAGGTATTAATATGTGCTGTATAAGTACTAATAGTCAAATACGCTAGTAATATACAGTACATGCTAATAAACAAGTTAATAGTGAGAATTGGTCCCTAAACTAAAGTGTTACCTCAAATTCTATAATATTTTGGTGCAAATGGAAAATCATTTCTGTTAAATGGACATCATTGGAAAACGTCTCAGGTTACGTATGTAACCATGGTTCCTCGAGGGAACGAGACGTTGCGTCGGAGGACGCTTCGGGAACGCCCTTCAGCGTGACCGGCTCTGAACCTCGTCCAAAAGCAAACCTCAGGAACTTCCTATGATGAGGATGGATGCCCTCATCCTTCCTCGGAACGGTGAAGAACCGACTGTAGGACCCGGACTCTGCTGCGCGAGGAGGGACCACCTCGATGGCCTCCATCCTCAGAGAGTGTCTACTTCTGTTCCATTACCAGAGCCTGCTCGGGGCCCACCAGGGTGGGAAAGGCCCCACTGAATTGAGGCGGAGGAGAACCGAACTGGATTCTGTGGCCTCTCACTACAGTGTGCAGGACCCACTGAGACACATTTGGCAGTAGTTTTCACGCTGCCAAATAGTCTACTAAGAGAATCAGTCTCTCGAGACTGACCTCTGGTGTAACCAGAGTGGCTAGTTCGGTGCCCTGAAGTGGCGGACCGGCAGGGGACGACCGTACTAGCTGCTCTAGAGACCTCCGTGGAGGGAGCGAG